CCTGTATCAGTTGTTCTCAACCTTCCCAATGCTGCAATTCTTACCTTTAATAGGTCCTCGTGTTGTGGTGAACTCAACCATAACATTTTCCTTGCCACTACATAACTGTATATTTGCTACTGTATGAATCATTATGTAAATATCTTTTCCGGTGGTCTTAGGTGACCCCTGTGAAAAGACTGTTTATCCCTGCCCAAAAGGGATTGAGACCTACAGGTTGAGAATATCTGCTTTAAACTGTCACTTCTGGAGCCTTAAATGTCTACAAAACATGTCAGCACAAGGGTGTTTGAGTTAGCTGTAGTGGAGATGGTGAGATGAGTGAGCCCAGGGAAACTCCTAGAGTTGTGCCCGTTCCCAGTCCAGTTTCCATGTTTGACTCTGTCCAGATTTATTCCTGTGTCTTAGAACCCATGAGTCAGTCACAGACTCCTTTAGGAATTTGAAATAAAGTCAGACTGTGGTGGTGCATGCTTTTAATCCCAGTGCTTGGGAGGCAGAGGTAGGCGGATCTCTGTGAGTTCGAGGCCTGGACTACAGAGTGAGTTCCAGGACAGCCAGGGCTACACAGAGAAACTCTCTTAAAAAAAAAAAAAAAAAAAAAAACAACCAAAACCACAAAGAAATAGAAAAGAAACAAGCTGCAGGCCTCCAGGGGTGGAAATATAGCCACTCCCATCTTGACTGTGGACATACCATACAGCTCAGAAGACTAACTTCAGTTTTCTTAGCCCACAGCAGGAGATGAGCCTCTCAGTCTGACCTTTCAAAAATACACATATTATTGTATGTGCGTCTATACGCCACGGTGTGCATGCGGAGGCCGGAGGACAACTTTGTAAGATCAGTTCTCTGCTCTCTACTTCCGCCTTTATCTGAGTTCACCAGTGATCAAGCTTGGGTCATTGTTCTCGGATGACAAGAGCCTCACGGCAGAAGCAGCCCTTCCAGTGCTGAGGTGACCCTGCTGTCAGTGCTTTGATGTTTGGGGGTTCTGTTTATGGCTAAAATTGTCCCTTACGGCTGAACTCTGTCCCTCACAGAGTTTTCCTCTTTGAGCTTAGGGACAGAGGGCTCAGCCATGTGAAGGGTGCCCAGACAGTGACTCTGACCCTACATGACCTGGAGTCTCTTTAGGGACGTGTTCTGTTTGTAGAGATACACAAAGGATAATGTGAAACGCCCTGTCCCATTCACATAATGAACATGCATGTGTGCGTGTGTGTGCGTGTGTGTGTGTGTGTGTGTGTGTGTGTGTGTGTGTGTGTGTGTGTAAGCAGGAGGTTGATGTTAGACATTGCTGCAGCCAGCACAGCCTGGATATCCGAGATTGGCGGGGGTGGGGGTGGTATTGGTGCCAGGATTGAGACACGGAGGCTTCTTTTCAGGTGGAAGAACAGCAACTTTTATTTTGCCCAGCAACCTTTTATACCTTTTATACCTCTACTCCTTCTGTGGGCCAGAAAGAACACAAACATCCTTGTCAATTACAGACCACAAGGAAGTTCCGCTGTCAGTCAAGGGGAGTGAAGGCAGCTGGATCACAAGACATCTTCTGTCACTCTCTACTGTATATTTGAGATAAGGCATTGAACCTCAAAGATTCAAGTCAGCTGAGCTGGCCACCAAGCCCCAAGGGTCCCCTCCCGCTCCACCTTCCGATGCGAGGATGGCAGACCTGCTGCCACACCTGGTTTGCTATGTGGTGCTGCTGATCTGAACTTAGGTCTTCCTGTTTGTGTGGCAAGTACTTTAGCAACTGAGCTATCTCCCTGGCTCCTGGAGTCCAGCCTTTTAAGAACAGAGATGGCACTATGGTCCCACATCTTAGATTCCCACAGCTCTTTCGTTGGCTGTGATGCAACCATTCACTCCATTTAACTCTTTTTGGAAAAGCCCAGGCTTCTGCTCTCACATGGCTCTCCCCTGTGAGCTGCAATCTGGGAAAGAGAGCGCTCTTCATTCTGCTGGTATTGTGTTCAGGACATCGGCATACCTAGTACAGGCCCAGACAGTCAAAAAAAAAACCACAACAACAACAACAACAACAAATGCACTTTGACCCTTTGTTGAAATTTTACCCGGAAACCTTCTTTTCATTTCTAAGATTTTCATCTTTTACTAGGCACCCCCTGCTCAGGGACAACACAAAAGTGTCCCATTGCCACCAAATCTTAATGATCCCCCTCTCCACCCTGAAGACATTCAGACAGCTCCTCCAGTTCTCTACCCTTTCTCCTGAATATCTCTGGGGTTGTGCCTGGAGCGAGCTCGCTAGCAAACTGTCTTTCTCTTCTTGTAAATTAACCATTTGGATCCCCAAATGTGCCCATGAGGCCTGAGGCCTCTCATCTCACTGTCAGAGCAAAAGACCGAAAAGCTGAAGAGGGGAAGGATTGGCCTATGGTCAGACACTCTGCAGTCTGCAGCTGCTGCCTCCTGGTCAAGAGTTCTTGCCTTACAGCTGAAATTTGGGCAGCTGAGGCCTGTGAACTGAAGGAAGGGGCTTGTAGCTCTTCGTTCATTTAATAACATATTTGACAGGAGAGGGAGAGCAGGCGGATTGTTTAACTTTCAGGCACAGTGTCGTTTTTCACAGAAAAGGTATACAATGGCTGGGATAACTGGCACCGGTTCTGCCGAGGGCCTAGGTGCTGTTTCACCTCTCAGAGTTTGAGAGGCGCTTTGTGTTTTTTCTGTAGTACTGGGGATCGAATCCAGAGCCTTGCCCATGCCGGACACACCCCTGACCGCTGGGCTACTCTCACAACTTCCAGCTTCCACAATACCCAGTAAATTCAGCTGCAGGTTGTGTTCACGTGTTTAGTAAGTTGCCCCTAACAAGTCATTCCTTGGGAAGGAGAGCTGCCTGCAGATGGCTTGAATCTGGGGGCCTTGGACAGTGTTGCAGTCATGAGAACAAATGATCTTTTTCCTGAGCACAGGGCACAGACCGGCTCTTTCCCTTGACCGGCTATGATGAGCTTTAAAAACGACACGAAAGGCTGCCTTGATTTTGCTGAGGGAAAGGGCAGGCAGAAATGGAAGGCTGGGAGAAAAGCCATCTTTTGAAAGAGAGACATGTCACTGAGTGCTGGTGAAGGAGGGACTGGCACTGAGCCCACAGACCCAGCGGGTTCTAGGACACACGTTGTCCAGTCTTGCTTATCTAATCACATCTGTGCTTACTCAATGTTCACTGGGTCACCGCACAGCTTCTCCCCACTCTGCAAAGTTCTCACTTGGTCTCCTACTTGAGGTCATCCAGTATATAACCTGGCGGGGCAGAAGGAGAGCAGCTGAACTGGTCTTGAACTGGTAGGATTTATTGGTTGGTTGTATTTGGTAGGCAGGTCTAGTCAGCAACTCTTATGCTGGGAAGTTCCCCACCAGATTTCCATTCAGAGGACTGGAACCAGGGAAGACAGATCTGCCGAGTTAAATCCCCCGCTTCCCAGCATGAGGCCCATCACACTTCTCCCTTGGCGAAGGGCTATATTTGCTTGTCTTGGCGTTGGTGACCACCGCAGCAGCTCCTCCAATTTTGCTTGGGCAAAGAAACACAAATAGGCTCTTGTTCAAATGTCCAATCATGGAGATGAGAAGAGCCTTGTGAAGGGTTTATCAGTGAGACATCAGAGCAGGGAGAGAGAATTCGCTCTGTAATTGTGTGTGTGTGTGTGTGTGTGTGTGTGTGTGTGTGTGTGTGTGTGGTGTTTCTTATGGTTATAGAAAAATCTAAGCTCCTATGGATGTCCTTACTTTAAATTCAACTTTTCCCACAAACTTATTTATTTTTTTGAGACAGGGTTTCTCTGTAGCTTTTAGAGGCTGTTCTGTAACTACCTCTTGTAGACCAGGCTGGCCTTGAACTCACAGAGATCTACCTGCCTCTGCCTCCTGAGTGCAGGGATTAAAGCCATGCACCACCACCACCTGGCTCCCCCCAAATTTATTAAAACACCCATGTTTGACCTGAGTGTGGTGGTCTACTTCCAAGACCAAGGCAGGGCTGTGAAATCGGGCCAGCCTGGGTTATGCTGTGAGATGTTCTCAAAATCAAAGATCTTATCATGTAGTACCCATAACCTTCACTACAGTTAAGTGCTGATTTAGGGACCTACAGGGATCTCTATTAAAGCCAATGAATGCTTGGACTTCAGGCACAGCCTAACATCCGCTGCCCCGAGGCTGCTGGAAGATGTGCTCTGCTGAAGCCCCAGTTAACTGCTGAAGACAAAGCCCAGGATTCATTTGGTGTTGCACACAGTAGTAATGATGCATATTTAAGAGTTTCTGCTACCTCCTCCCTCGTGTTCTTAAAAACAAAAAGCTATTCACTCATCCACCTGTGACTCAAGCGGCAGCAGTCACTCGTCCCCTGGAGGGAAGGCAGAGTTTGGGTTTTTCACAGCCAGGTCTTCACTGAGGTATCAGTGTGCGGACTGACAGGATGACAGCCCGTTGGTGAGTGGGGAACTGGGACACTGTAGAATGTCGGCTTAAGTATCCTCCCACAGGAGGAACCAAGGCCCACATCCAATTGCCTGTACACAGCAGGTCACTGTTTTTTGCCTAGAAAAGCTCAGGGGTCAATATTACTTCATAGACTTTGTTAGAATTCTATTTTGATTATAATCAACTCACAGTGATATTTTAGGACTTTTTCTTGGTTCTGGGAATTGAAGCCACGACATCATATGTGCCCTCACTGTTAAACTCCCAGCCTATTTTAGAAGTGTGGCCAGGTTCCTGCTCTCCCTTCTGGATTCACATGGCTTTCAGAGGGAAGGTAGGGACAATGCTGACTTTTGATAAGATGGGTGTAAGGGTCCAGACCAGCAACATCATCAAAGTCCAGAAGAGGGATCACTAAGTACAATGTGCCTGAAGTGTAGCCTGTGATTACATTCTTTAGGTACATATTAACCTATTAAATCGATCCTGATTACAAACAAACTTTGCCCCTACCTTGCCTGGCAGCCATGAGAAAGGCAGATAGATGTCAGCCTATAAAAGGAAACGAGAACTGCCCTCTGGCCTTCAGGCTCCAACATCTTCCTTTTGCCAAGATGCTACAGCTCAAACTCTTTGCAGTGCTCATGACTTGCCTGCTGTTGTGGAGCCAGGTAAGAAAGAATACATGTATGCTGGATATAGTAGCGGCCGTGGAATTCTAAGTCAGACTCAGCCCTGAGAAATGCTGTTAAACCTCCCGCAACCTGAGTGTTTGGCAGAGGGTGGATGCTTTCCAACCTGAAGTGGATATGCCTCTGCTCTATAGGTCAATGGCTCCCCAGTACCAGAACTGAGTTCAGCAAAGAGATCCCGGAGAATGACCCCATTTTGGAGAGGGGTTTCCCTCAGGCCCATTGGTGCTTCATGTCGGGATGATTCGGAGTGTATCACAAGACTATGCAGGTATTTGACAAGTCTGGGTGCAGGGTGGGCCAGAGACCTCTGGGAATCTGGGAGAGGTGAGATCCAAGGGTAAAGTTGAGACAGGGGTAGGGTGTGCATAGAGATGGAATTGCAAGTTCCATGGAAGAGAGTTCCTTGACAGCCAAGAACCATTCAGATCCCTAATATTGGGCAGATGAAACAGGGGAAAGTAGGGGCAGCAGAGGTGGTCTACATCCAATCGTAAACACTTCTTTTCTTCCTCCACTAGAAAAAGACGCTGTTCTCTAAGTGTGGCCCAGGAGTGATGTCCATACCAAGGGAAAGTCAGCTCCAACAGTGCTCCGTTATATGGAATATTGGTTAACTGCATTTAAGTGAAGCAACCTTGTGTTTTTAATATTTAAAGACAGATTCTTGCTTTAAACTGGCCTCCATTTCTTCTTAGAATGTTGTTGATACATAGATGTTGTACATAGACGTAACTAAGTTTGTCAGAGTTTATTTTTCTATAAATACTATTAAATATCTCAAATCCAAATTCTGGCAGTCTGGAATTGACACTTGACTGACTCGTTTCACACATTATAGGAAAGAGCACTCACTATCTAACGAGTGGTGCTGCTCCACCTTGGAGGTGTGGAGAACACCCATTCTTCAACCAATCTTATACCAGGCTTGACAGAGGCAATGCTCAACAACAGTCAGTCTGTGCAGAGCAGACCATGGCTCCTGACTTAATAAAACAATAAGCTGGGTGTAACGCGAATTCTACTTGTTCTTAATAACAGAAACTAGGAGTCAGATATTGGGGTAAATGCTGAAAAGATCGGATAAGGAAAGGAGCCAGGCACTAGAGAGACTTTTTACCTCTACCATATCCTCAGTCTGAAGGGGGCAAGATCATGTCTCCATGAATTCTCAGACTGAATGCTTTGAGCTCCTGTCTCCTCCACCTTATATTCATCTCTTTTCCTAGCCATATTCCTTCCTGTCTCCAGCTCCCTAGTGCTGGGATTAAAAGTATGTGACTCTGCCTGGCCTCTATGGCTAACTAGTGGCTAGTTCTCCATTCTGATCGTCAGGCAAGCTTTATTTGTTAAAGCACAAACAAAATATCACCACAGCTGAGCATGGTGGAACATGCCTTTAATCCCAGTACCAGGGAGGTGGAGGCAGAGGCAGTTGGATCTCTGCTGACTCAAGGCTAGCCAGGTCTATATCGTGAATTCCAGGCTAGCCAGGCTACAAAGTGAGACCCTGTCTCAGAAAAACAGAAAACAAAATCCAACAAATAAATAGTAAAAATAAATAAATAATGAACGAAACAAGAATAGTCTATGTCTCAAGAGCATAAAAAAGGGTTTGAAGATTTCCATTGGTTCAGGACAATTGATATACATGAATAAGGACCTATGGCCATGAGTACAAAATTTCTGTACCCAGAAAATGAGACCTGTGCTGGTGGGATGAGACCATTACAGAGTAAGCCTGGACTCTTAAGATACAAAAGAGCAACTCCAGGAGAAAATCACAGTAGGAGCTGAAGAAGTGAGAGCACATGCATATAAACATTATACAGAAAAGCTATCTGATATTTATTAAACTTAGTTTCTCCAGCTATGGTTTGGCATTATACAAAGCATCGTAATGACACAGTAGAGTTAAAAAGAGTTTTACAAATTGAAATGTGATACCCTTGTCTCCAAATATTTTAATTGCCATAAATTTGTTTAAAAATACACATTAAACGCATGTTTGACACTCTAAACTTTCTATAATCTCAATACCACAAAATACATATAATATACTATACAGATGTGGAAAATCTAGTTAGTATATAATACTTTGCTCACCATTAACAGCTTATTATGTGAAATGCACATACTGACTTAGAAATCCTAGCTTTTGAGCCCCAAAGTACCTCTGAAATTTAATGTATTGCAACAAATAAAAATCACAGTATATAATTGAAATTTTGGTTGAAAGTGTCAGATGCCTAGATATTTTGGATAAAAGAAACGTAAGACAAAGATTGGATCATGTACAAGATGAGGCCTCCTATCAGCAACAGTGCCTTTCTGCAGAGGCAATAGGCCTGTACTTTATCAATCGTGTTACTTCCCCTCCAAAACCCTCCCCAAATAGCAAACCATTATTTACCAAATGATTTTAATTTCAAATAAAAAGATCTTCAATAAATATATAAGCATTTCCATCCTCCATATATAAAACTTCTCAAAATCATTCAAAACGGAGGCTAGGTAGAAATTTCCCTAAGTGTGCTTACCAACTGGGCATCTGGCCCTCAAGTGTGGCCTTTTCAGGCCCTGCCAAGTGAGCCAGCGCTGTTGGTGAGCCCCACCCCATCCCAGTACTGCTGAATGCTCATGTCAGTGATGTGCCAGATGTGTGCATAATGGGGACACCTCTGAGACAACAACAAGCTCAACAATACAGAAGCCATGGCATTGGTTTGAAAGGTAGCACTTCCAAACTGATGTCTTCCAGAGAGGTACAGAACAGGCAGAAACCCAGTGGCTAAAAGCTGAGAAGGAAGCTAACACAGAAGCAGCAAGGTCAAAGCCAAGATTACAAGGATTTCTGGGTGGGAACTAGTCCATGCTCTTGAGAGCTTTCTCCGGGTTTAAAGATGATGAGTTCTGCTTAGCTGAGTAACGGCAGCAAGGAGAGAGGTGCATGCGGACAGTCCTGAAAATCAACTTCTTAAAAATTAGCTATTTAAGCTGAACCTCTAACTTCGTTGAGACTTCACCCAAACACCTTGTTCTAAATTCCATCTACAAAACAGATGTAGCTTCTGTTTCCATCCCCTGCTCAGGAGACAGCAAGTTCTTTTTAATGAACATGTGAACAGGAGTTCCGCACACCAACATCCTCTTTCTCGGTTTCTCTAGTAGTGCATACTAGTCTCAACAACAATCTGAGTGCTAGAATTCAATATGCACCACCACACCTTGTTCACCAAATAACTTTTATTTATTTCTTGGAGAGTGGGTCTCAGTAGCTCAGGTTTACTACCCAGCAAAGGCTGACCATTGCCTCAGGGCATGCACCAGCACTGCTGGCCTTCTCTAACCTTAATGACTTTTGTTACTTGCTGGCTTGATTTCAGGGTCTGAAAGTCGAAGCTCAATGCCTCCACTCACAAGTATGTGAAAGGTACATTCACCAATGTGACAACTGGGCCTTCCCAGTGCATCTTCCCAGTCATTCGTTACTTTTTCTGCTGATTTTACTCACAGCAACACTAGGTGTGAAATACTACTGGAGAAAGTCTGCCTCTCCAACTGAGATGTGAGGATGGATGGGATTCGTGTTCCACATCCTAAGGGAATATGAGATACAGGAGTCTACGGACTTGAACAAAGTGCTCTGGCTCCCCAAGTCACTTAGGTTTAGTCTGACTATCACCACCCAGCCTAAAACAGGCATCCTCAGTAGATATCCTTGGAACCCAGACACCTATAGACTCCTATAAACCAAAATATACAATGAAGCCATTTTGTTCAATTAGCTATTGGAAAATTAAAATCTTTCCCACCCTGTAAGAGCCCTATTACACTACAGAAGGGCTCAAATATATTTTAAAAGTTAATTTACTACAAATCATAGTAATTAAGCTTTAACAATCTAAAGGAATACACATTGCACCCTTGAATGTTAATATTCAAGGTGCCAAGAACAAAGTGTCTTAGATCAATTTAATAAATAATGTGGAAATAGTTGCACTAAGCTAAAATACTAAACACACACATTTTGACAAACTAATTCCATGTTTTCATACATACATACGTACATATATATAAAGTGTGTATGTGTACATAATTTTAAGATCCAAAGTTGCATACCCTCAGACCTAGAAGAGTGCACAGCATCCCCCTTCTCAACTGAGCTAGGCATCATCTAATGGAGCTATTTAACTGGCTGCACTACAAACTCCTCTGAGCACTGGCCTCAGGCAGTGCTTATACTTCTGACAAGAACCTTTGTAGGCCCTGGCTACACAATGCAAGCTCATTCATTAAACATCAATGTACCAAAGTTTCAGCGGTTAAATACAAATGATGCTGCCTAATCTAGCTGATTAAATCTTTAATTAAAAAAACAAAGAACAATTTAAATTTAAAAACAAAACAAAACAACAAAAACAACAACAGCTACTCTAAAGCCACAAGTGTGTCATTCAAAGTGCAGCCCAGATGCCTATAAATCCCTAGTGCAAGAGCTTCCCAGAAAAACAGGCAAGTGTGGGCGCGTGCACACATTACTCTGAATTGTTTTAATATTGGAGAATTAAATCAGTAGAGGTCAATCGTCTTCCTTCAGCAGCAATATCTGTGAATATATTTGAAAGTTCACTGAAAATAAAGTGACTCCAAAACTTCTTGCCCAGAAAAAGGTGTTACTGAGCAAGGAAAGGGCTGGGTGCTCTCCAGCTAGCATGGGGCATGGGCAAGGCTGTGTAATCTTGAATGCCCGGAGGGGAGTGCTCCCCACAGCCCAGTCTCTCCCAGGCAGGATGACTGTGACAGCTGCCTCACTGCAATCATGTGAGATGCCTGTCCAGAGTCTAATGGTGCACGCTGCTGCCTCCTGGAACAGGAGTGTGATCTTAGAGCAATGAACTGAGTATTAAAGATAGTTGCTATTTCTAGTACTAACTATACATTGAATACAAGTTTCAGACTAAGTTTTAAATGGCTAAAAACCACTGAGGGCACCTACTGAGAAGGGAGGAATGGTCACTTGTAAAGGAGTCAAGGTATGTGCTGGACATGACTGACACAGAACGTTTGAGAAAAGACACAGAGAAGAGAGTGTATGCTCACACACTATGACATCAAAAATTCAATTACTTAGGATCGGATTTTGATCCATTGCCCATTTCTACCTGGTGGGGAAAATCCTCCACAATGAACAATTTCATTCTCCAAGAATTGACAGTTTTAAAGAGAAAATATCTTAAAGCAGCACCATAAAACATGTAGGAAACTCTGCTTTAACACAACATCAGTGTCACTCCAGAATGTGGTGGCCACCCTGCAGGACACACAGACCAGAGCTGGAAAGCAGAGGCCAGCACTGCAGCTGCTGAAGTCTAAAAGCCCAAAGGGCACTTGTTCCACTTCTAAGACCTCCCTGAAGTTAAGGAGCCAGAGTGAGAGAGAAGAGGCAAGGACAGGACACACAACTGTTAGACCATGTAAGTTACTAGCACAAGAGAGGAGACAATGGCCTCTGAAGAAAAAGTATTCCTTAAACACACTACAATTAAATTACAAAGGTATCAGAGGCAATTTCTCCAAGGGAAAAATGTTATATTCAGCATAAGCTATAGATATCAACCCTCAATGGTATGTAAAAATAATGAGGTACAAAGCAATTAAGCTCTGTGAATATGAGACTGCAGGACAAAGTCCACTATCTTTAGAAACAGGTGGTGAGAGAGACTAGAAGAGAGGACTCACAACACCACTGGATGTGAAGATATTCTCTTTCTCTTCCCCTTTCCCATTT